TCTGCCATTTAATTGCATTAATTATATATAAAAGTATTTATGTCCAAAGTTGATTGGACCTAGGGCATAATACTTACAGAAGGCACTATTTATTTTTGGACGACAATTTGAGGCTTGCATTTAAGACTAGACATTGGTTGTTGCTTGTATAGATTCACGACTTTTTACAGACAATAATAAGCTATATAGTATGGTGTAGAACTATTACAGTTAAAAGATGAAACTTTCAACCGATTTGCAAAGATAACAGGCTTCTTGGTGATGTTGTCTGCAAGAAAAACACATTTTTTTCAACATAGCTATCTCACATTGTTAAGATGATTGTGTGGAAGCTTTTACCAATTAGTAAAATGTCTTGCACGTATATTTGGTTTCCAGCTTGTAGTTGAATAAGTCATTTTGGACACATGTAGATAGCAACTGCAAGTATGCCTATATAGATATTATATGTAATATCATTAGATAAAGTAATAGCGAACATGAGTGAAAGCAAATATGAATGTACTGAAGTAAAAAATCTGAGATATAGGTATGAAAAATGTATAGAAAGAATCTATTAGAAGATACTTGTATCGTTGTTGCAAATTCATATGCTTTTCTAGTTCATCAAATGGAGTAAATGTGTGTTGAAAGCAGGAATTCGATGTTATTCTCATTGACTTCTTGAATTCATGTTTTTCCAGAAATTGTCCACTGCACATTACCATTTGAAGCTCTATATTAAGGTTTTGTCTCCTCAACGAGAACATTTGAAATGATGTATGTCTTGCTCAATAAGAGTTGATCTTCGAAGGCAATAATGTTTCCATCATACAGACTTGTATGCACTTTGTTTCCCTATGGCAGGTAAAAATGGGAAGGTAAGAACACTTGTTCATAAAGTAATGTTTACTTTGGAAAAAATTAAGGACCATAGATTGTATTGCTTTATTTAAAGCTATTTAACTCAAGATCCATTAGCACCATGTTTTGATATCTACTATTACTGTGTTTTGCTTGCTTTGGGGCCAATTTCTCCTCAACTATTACCTTAGCTTGCCAATTCTTTTGATTTGGACTGATTTCTCGTATCAACTTATAGTTGCTTGTCATTTTTTGAGTCTGGAAGAAAGATTAAAGGATTAAAAAAGAGATATTAAAGTATCATTGAATGAACTAATGTGTAAAAGATATGCATATTTATTTACTTACTAGAGAAAATGAAGTGGTTGATGGCCCTTTTTCTTCTTTCAAGTAAAGAAGCAAAAAATCTATTTTTTGTTGTTTTAAATATGTTTTGAGGTTTGGAAAGAGCAAAGATCGGTATATATAGATGTGTTTTGCTTTTGCCCCCCAGGGCACATCCAAGTTGGCGAAACAATCACATTGGGGGGCTTTGGAACCAAGTGTGGGGAGTTCGATTCCTGGTTGGAGCAGCCAAGTGATGTAATAACCAGAGTAAGGGTTGGAGCAGCTTGGTGATGTAATAACCATGGAGGAGGGTCCATTTGGGGAAGGAGTAAAAGCCATGTGGGAACTTGAGAATCAACAAGGGCACAACCTGCGATTTACCTCCACTAGTCACTGAGGGACCGGGAGCTAGAGGTCCAGGATTTAGTCCGGCTAAGCTGGGACACCTGGGTTATAAATAAAAAAAAAAAAATGTGTTTTGCTTTTCTTTTTTCTCTTGAGAAGCAATATTTTGCGTGCTGTAATAGTAGGGGAAAGCTAAAGTAAACTTTTTTCAGGAAAATACAGGTAATATTTCCAAAAAGTAAAGCAAACAGTAACAGAAATATGTGTACTCAAATCATAGTGCAAAAGTATTCTGACAATCATTTCTACAAATGTGGTTGCTCAGATATGCATTATTTCTTTTTGCATACTTTTCTGCAATATGTAACTAAATTGAAATTTGTGAACAGACACTTGGATATTTAGAGAGTCTAGCCATAATGGTCATAAATGTCAAGACTTCCATTTAAATGTATCAAAAATATATTTACTAATACATGGCCACCTTAATTATGTTACTTCTTATCAGTTACTATCTTGATCCCACTTTAAGTGAGATGCAATGCAATTTTTTTCCTTCTACCATAAACAATACACGGGCGTATTCACATGGAAACATAAGAATAGTAAAAAATTCACGAAAGAACTAGTAGCTGATTTAAATTAATTTAAATTCAAACAGGATTGTTATAGTTCATAGAAATATTCAACAAAATACTTACTTCAAAGAGTTATACAAAGAGAGACTTAGGGTTGCAACTGATTTGAAATGGTACCATGCAAATTTAGGCGTACTTTGACCTTCAATTTTGCCTTTTAACCTTCTGTGGATTTGAAGGGTCCAATCTATAACTTCGATAGGAAAATAACAGAAATATTGAGATTTAACAATGAACGACAGTATATTCATAGACATAACTGACTAAAAGTACGGCATGATGACAAAACACTATTAAGTACTTATTACCTTCTAGACGTTCACTTGATTTTCAAGTGCGCTTTTACGTTATAAACTCATGATCACTTTTCCACTATGTGCATCTCCACAAGATTTTGGTTTTACTTATCTTCAATGTGTTGAGTTTCGAAGGTCTAAGAAATAGCAAAAACAACAAAAGAAGACTTTAAGTTCTAAAGTTATAAAAAGAGACTTATTGCCAAGCCAACAATAGTCTCTTAATTTTAAAAAAAAAAAAAGAAAAAGGAATGTTTTCCAGATAAATGCATCCATTTCATAGCAAATAAACAAATATGGAAAAACATTAATCAATCAAAGGAGGTGGAAATGAAACTCATAATAGACTTTATGTCATCTAAATGTTGAAAGGTACCTTATACAATCTATTCTCCCAAATATTAGAGAGAGTTCTAATGTAAGATATAATATAGAGATGTTGGCCATGTGACGCACAACATTGTTGCTTGGCAGAAAAACAATTTTCAAAATATTCCAGACAGTATGATTTCTTCCAAGATTTATGGCATTTTATAGTGTGTCTGAATATATATGATATCAATTTATAGGATAAATGCTAGCATAGGTCATCATCGGAACTGACATAAAATCATTCAAAAATGAACATAACGAGAATGAGAAATGGATAAATCACTCCATATTTGACCTATAGAGAATTCATAGTTGATAGTTCGACAGAGAAGACATCAACGTACAGGCATTAATCCATTTACACTGATGATCAAAGAGAACAAAACAACATGAAAACCCACAATTGAAAATATAATTTACCGGGACTTAATTTATATATTCTTACCATGTGGAGGGATCTTATTCCTACCGTGTTCCACAAATGTTCTGTCATCTATGATAATAGCAAATATCCATTGCTTTCCACAAAATTAGATGTTTGTAACCATATTTTCTAATTCCATAACCATATCAATATGTGTTAGTTTGCATGTAGAGAGTCATATAAAAACGAAAGAGTGTGGTAAATATGGATTACTTGCTTAAGAAAGTTTGCCAACCTTTACGCTTAAAACTTCTCTTCAATTAGCTCTCTTTTAACTTCACTGCTAAAGCTTCGACCTAGAGAACTGAACAATCCAAAGTGAAATAAGTAAAATTGTAATGTGTCTTTGTTTTCAAAAGGTTGCAAAGAGGCAAATGATATTGAACAAGGTAGGAGAAAGTGCTAAATGAATATTCAATATACATTGTGTCCAAAAGAATGAAATAAGTTAAAATGTAATGTATTCTTGGGTTTTCCCGAGTAATATTGCCCATAGATACATGTAAAACATATTCACAGTGGAAAAGGATTTTTAAATAGCTCATATAATGAACATTTGGCACTAAGTTAAGTAAATTTAGTTAAATTCAATTTTAAAAATTTGGTTTCTCATCTTTTGCTAATCCATGTTTTAATCCAGAGGAATTACATTACTACGAGAGCCCTACCTTCTCAACGGACTTAATTTCAACTCAAATTCTCAATGCTCAACACAACCCTATTATTTTTTAGTTTCCATTTGATGATTTTTAATTCAATCTCCAAAAACAAAACAAGAGGACAACAAATCAAACTTTGAATAGAAGAATCCTGAAAACGAATAATATAGAAGAAGAATTTTTCAACCTTTGCATCAAAGTAAAGACATCATTAATAAATTCATTCCCACTCCTTAAAAAATATAATCATCCCAACTTTTCACTACTAATTCCTTCCCCAGACCTTGGACATCGAGTAATATCACCTTTCCATTGCCATCCCTAATAAATAAGTAAGAAACATGAAAATATTATATTCTACAAACAACTAATAAGGCCCATCTCTCTCCTCCACAAGCTTTACAATTTCATCACCACAATTAAAACACGAACAATAATTTCCCTGTTACTTTTTTGTGTGAGAGCTAGACGTGAATTTTTTGTCGTCTTGAAGTAGGTTTTTTCCATAGCAAAAACAACAAAAGAAGACTTTAAGTTCTAAAGTTATAAAAAGAGACTTATTGCCAAGCCAACAATAGTCTCTTAATTTTAAAAAAAAAAAAAGAAAAAGGAATGTTTTCCAGATAAATGCATCCATTTCATAGCAAATAAACAAATATGGAAAAACATTAATCAATCAAAGGAGGTGGAAATGAAACTCATAATAGACTTTATGTCATCTAAATGTTGAAAGGTACCTTATACAATCTATTCTCCCAAATATTAGAGAGAGTTCTAATGTAAGATATAATATAGAGATGTTGGCCATGTGACGCACAACATTGTTGCTTGGCAGAAAAACAATTTTCAAAATATTCCAGACAGTATGATTTCTTCCAAGATTTATGGCATTTTATAGTGTGTCTGAATATATATGATATCAATTTATAGGATAAATGCTAGCATAGGTCATCATCGGAACTGACATAAAATCATTCAAAAATGAACATAACGAGAATGAGAAATGGATAAATCACTCCATATTTGACCTATAGAGAATTCATAGTTGATAGTTCGACAGAGAAGACATCAACGTACAGGCATTAATCCATTTACACTGATGATCAAAGAGAACAAAACAACATGAAAACCCACAATTGAAAATATAATTTACCGGGACTTAATTTATATATTCTTACCATGTGGAGGGATCTTATTCCTACCGTGTTCCACAAATGTTCTGTCATCTATGATAATAGCAAATATCCATTGCTTTCCACAAAATTAGATGTTTGTAACCATATTTTCTAATTCCATAACCATATCAATATGTGTTAGTTTGCATGTAGAGAGTCATATAAAAACGAAAGAGTGTGGTAAATATGGATTACTTGCTTAAGAAAGTTTGCCAACCTTTACGCTTAAAACTTCTCCTCAATTAGCTCTCTTTTAACTTCACTGCTAAAGCTTCGACCTAGAGAACTGAACAATCCAAAGTGAAATAAGTAAAATTGTAATGTGTCTTTGTTTTCAAAAGGTTGCAAAGAGGCAAATGATATTGAACAAGGTAGGAGAAAGTGCTAAATGAATATTCAATATACATTGTGTCCAAAAGAATGAAATAAGTTAAAATGTAATGTATTCTTGGGTTTTCCCGAGTAATATTGCCAATAGATACATGTAAAACATATTCACAGTGGAAAAGGATTTTTAAATAGCTCATATAATGAACATTTGGCACTAAGTTAAGTAAATTTAGTTAAATTCAATTTTAAAAATTTGGTTTCTCATCTTTTGCTAATCCATGTTTTAATCCAGAGGAATTACATTACTACGAGAGCCCTACCTTCTCAACGGACTTAATTTCAACTCAAATTCTCAATGCTCAACACAACCCTATTATTTTTTAGTTTCCATTTGATGATTTTTAATTCAATCTCCAAAAACAAAACAAGAGGACAACAAATCAAACTTTGAATAGAAGAATCCTGAAAACCAATAATATAGAAGAAGAATTTTTCAACCTTTGCATCAAAGTAAAGACATCATTAATAAATTCATTCCCACTCCTTAGAAAATATAATCATCCCAACTTTTCACTACTAATTCTTTCCCCAAACCTTGGACATTGAGTAATATCACCTTTCCATTGCCACCCCTAATAAATAAGTAAGAAACATGAAAATATTATATTCTACAAACAACTAATAAGGCCCATCTCTCTCCTCCACAAGCTTTACAATTTCATCACTACAATTAAAACACGAACAATAATTTCCCTGTTACTTTTTTGTGTGAGAGATAGACGTGAATTTTATTCTCGTCTTGAAGTAGGTATTTTCAAATGAAAGACAATACTCACATTCCAAAACATTGATTTTACATAGACCATATAACCAAAATATTCAATTTCACGATTTAGGCTTCCCGTATGTCTTTCCCAAATACTTGAATGAATGGCAATGTAGAGGAAGCAAATGAAAGAAATTAAGAAATAATTACTTACAGAAGTAAAAGATAGCTTCATCATAAATATGATAAGCACTCCATAAACTAAAAAGCTAGTGCATACAAAACAACAATACACCCAAATGTTACTGGATTGACAAGATAAGAAATCGACTATTTCCTTCTTCAAATCAAATAAATATTTTCTAGGTTAAAATAGAACAAAAAACAAAAATACAACTATTTCAACCCAAACTACAAATGAGTTGTTTCAAGATTCAACATATGAGGTTTTTAAGATTATTTATACATATAATCACTTAATGTTTGGTTTGATAGATTTTGTGAGCAACACAATTGAAAGCTTAAAAGAAATTAATCAAAATTTAAATGGTAGTTGAATTGCTATTTTCAATATACAAATAATGCAACTAATCAATTTCTATGGTTATTTTTTTATTTTCCCTTTTCAAAGTAAAAACCACACAACTAAATCATGACGATCACATATTTAATCACAAGCAAGCATAATTAATAATAGAAAAACTTGTAAAATAATGCAATAGTACTACACTTCAAACTTTGATTGATTTAATCGATAATTATTTTACTCATTCTAGAATAATAATAATAATAAATATCAACTGAATGCAAATGAGCTGTTGTAGCTATTTATATTATAACCCATACTTCAAACTATAAGTAGTCATACCCACTGCTAGTAGAAAGTTTACCAGCCAAACCTTGCACAATATCAAAAGGCAAAAATTATAACAAAATTAAAAGGAAAACTGACCCCAAAAAAATAGAAACTAAATATATATGGATACGAAACCACAATAGAAGCCAGCAGAAGCACAAAAGCCTGAAGAAACACACATTTGTAGGAATATCTCACTGTTTAATTTGATGAATACGATTGACAGTAACACAACAAGTATTCAAAAAATCACAGCACTAAAACAGAAGTGTTGGAAGATCGACAAGAAACAACGATTTCTATAAAACATACATTTTACACTATTTTGAATATGCACTTAGAAAAGGCAATGAAGACCGTATCAAAGCAAGAATTTCTTAGTAAACGATATTTTTTGTGCATCTACTATGAGTTGTAGATTTTCTGGTGGCTTTATCAAACCTTAATAGATTTACTTGTTTTGGCTCTCAACAAAGCAACATACAATTGTCCGTGGGAAAATACAGGTTCCGGAAGATAAAGCCCGACAAAGTCTAAAGCTTGACCATGATATTTGTTTATTGTCATTGCAAAACAAGGATGAATTGAAAATTGAGTTCTTTTAAAAGGAATTAAAGTTTTATCACTTTCAAGTGGTAAAAATGGAATTCTAGTTAAAAATACTCGCTTTCCACGATATTCTCCAATAGCAATTTCTGCATTAATGTCATTTCTTTAAAATCTTCGACAAATAAGTATTGTTCCATTACATAAACCTTTAGATGTATTAATATTTCGAAGTAACATAACAGGACAATTCAATTTCAATATGAGTTCATGTGGTGGAATACCATTTGGAGTTAGCATATTTAGAAAATCTTATTGGATACTTTATTCGGATTTTTCAATGGCTTCATCAAAGCTATAATATGTAAATACTTTATCGGGAATTTCTTTTAGTAAAATATTGTTTATTTGATTAACATATTCATTTTTCGGTGTCAAAATACTCTATTAATCAAAGCATCTAAATTTTCAACATAATTTTCTATATTTGGAAAAACTACATTAATCAAATGTTTCAGAGATTTAAATTCGCCTTCAAAACATATTGTTTTATCATAGGGAAATTTAATCATCTGACATGAGTGTTCTTTCTCTGTACCATTTTCGATACTAAGTAAATATTTACAGAATAATGGATCCAATTGAGCTCTCATATTTTGAACCAATGATAAATTGGTAAAAGAAGGCCACAAGTACGAAAAACAAATTTACTTTCATTATATCTTCTTTTTTCCCTCTTTGAACAATTGGCAAAACCTGATGGAAATCTCCTCCTAATATAATTACTTTTCCACCAAACGGTACATCTCGTTCGTTTACATCTCTAAGCATTTTATCTAAAGCCTCCACATTATAATGGTTTACCATTGGCGCCTCATCCTAAATGGTTAGCTTAGCCATTCTAAAAAGCCTACTAATGCAGACTGTTTACTAATTGAACAGTAACATCATCAATTATTTCTAGAGGAATTTTAAACCTCGAATGTGTAATCCTACCACCTAGTAATAAGGACGCTGCTACTCCAAAAGAAGTTGTAGCTAAAGCAATGAGATTTCTTGACCTTACAACTGCCAATAAACCCTTGTACAAATATGTTTTACCTATCCCACCAAGCCCATCGATAAAAAATCATGCCACTTTGATCACTTAAAACTCTGTGTAAAATTGCATTATAAGCATGCCTTTGCTCTTTATTTAAAGTGTTTGTATCAAAATTGTCATTTTGATTACCATTATTTCTCATCTCTTCAGAAAATCATGATAGCCAATGCTTCATCTTCGCCCATACTTATATCAAACGATACCAATTGGTAATCGTTTATATTTTTGTTCAATGGTTTTAATATAGAATTTATACACTGTAATGCTTTTATTTGAGCAGCACTAAATGACATACCCTGTTGTATGAAATCTTCTAAAATATAATTTTTAAACTTATCCTATAGTGAACATGGATTGTTAGGACTACAAAAGGTTTATATGGTAGCAAATAACCTACGTAATGAAATGGGCGTTTGGTAAACAATTGCTTCTACTAAACATTCCTAACAATTATTATTTTCACTTAGTAAACACGTAAAAGAGCTGCTTCACGAAATGTGGATGGCAATACACCATTTACGACTCTTAGATGTTCAAAAGAAGTTGATCCCTTAACGTGATTTAACAAAACACGTAAGTAATATCTTTACCTTCAGATGAATTAGCTGTAACTATATTACCAATTATATTCTTTTTCTTTCTAGGAGTCCAAATCCATTCGTTTCCATTCCATACAAAATAAGAAGGAAAATCTCTATATGAAAGTGTTCTAGCCTTTTCATTTAAAATATTGGTACGAAAGAATTCAGTTAACATTGTCCTTCATGTATAATCTCTACTAATAACTGCCTGCAAATTATCAGAGTCTTTATATGTAATTAGTTGATAGTATTCGAGAGTCTTTATATGTAATTATTAGAGTCTTTATATGAAATAACTGATGGAGACATTTTAGACAACAAAAATCCATAAATTCTCGACACTGCTTCGGGTGGAGAAATCCACCTAACAGTTTGATATCTTGAAATTTCATCAATATCAACATCTTGTTCATTGCCATTTATAGAAAACGTTATTCGATCATGCCATTTATAAATATATTTATATAAATATTTGACAACTTTAACAATTGAACATATTTCTACATTGATATGGCAATCATATTTAGCTATTAAATAAGGATTGTAAGGTATAACCCATCTATCATCTAATATATGTCCTCTAACCTTAACCTTTTGACCATCATTGCGACGTCTATATTGTGGATATGAATCATCGCCAAGTGAAGTTATCATTGCATATTCTCTGGGATACTTATTTTTACATGTTTTATTATTTTCCATACAAAAATTATTCGGATTTAATGTTCTACATGAGAGGATAATGATTTTTTTCGAATTGCACAACAAACAATTTTATCAAACAAATCTACTACGTAACTTTTGATTCAGATTTAAAAATTAACAAAAAATGAGCATGTGGAAGACCTCTCTTTTGGAATTTGATTACATATATATATGCAGCAACGGGTCCTAAAATTTGTCTTCGAATTAAATCATTTTTTAGTTCCTCCAATTTAGCTCTAAATAATCATGCGAGCAAATCAGGTCTATTTTGCTTCTCATCATTGTGCCTTAGTTCTTGATTTATTTCTGGCCAATTTGGGTTACAAGTTATTGATAAAAACACATTAGGTTTACCGTATCATTGAACCAATGCCATAGCATCCATATATCTTTTTGTTATTATCTCTAGGTCCATCAGTGAATGACGATGGTAAAATAATCCTATGACCGATTTTATAACCTCTATTTTCACATGTTTTAACACTATCTACAATTCCTTGATAAAGTTTTGCTCGTACTTATTTTTGATTGTTATAAAAGTAATCTAATCTAGTAGTTGCAATTTTTACATACATATCAACAACATATTGCAGTAAGAGCCTACTAGCATGGAGCAAAATACAATTACCTGAGTTTCGAACTTGTAATTTGTAGCAATAATACTCACGATAAGACATGTGTAACCTTTTATTTCCCTTCTTCATAACTACGAGATAAAAAATAAAAAATTTAAATTGCATAATTTCAAAAAAAAAAAAAAAGAAAGAAAGAAAGAAAGAAATGAAATGAAAAGTAATTTTCACATTGTTAACCTTGAGTCTCTCTTTTAATCAATTCACTTGCACAATTTATGTATTAGTATTTAAAATGTTCTTGTGCAGAAGAACGATGAAGTGTTTCTTTACTGAATCTTTCAATAACCTTAAGCCATCCAAACTCACCATAAGGAAAGAGTAAAGGGTATTGAAGGGTGTCATAACAACCAAAATAATAATGCACTCTATGCGAAATGTCTCAATGACCATATATCGATATATCACGAACTCTATTGTTCATAGATGGATCATCATCAACCCAAACTATAGCTACTTGTGAAGCTGTTGGTGTGTTGTAGACTCTTTGGTCTAAACCAGGATTACATCTTATTTTTATTTGACATGCATGTAAATTGTCAGTATTGCTCAATGAACGAAAGAATTTAGAGTAAGGATTATCCTTAGGATATCAATCAAAATTCTTAAAGTTGATCCACAAAATTAATCTGAAACATTCAATCGATTTTGTAGTTCATTTTGAGTATCATAAAAGTATAACTATAAATAAGTTGGGTTATTATTAGATGGTAAAAGTCAATTTACAGAGGCCTTTGTTCATCTTATACAATCTTTGTCATACTTAACAACAAACGATATGAATGCAAAATGATTGTTTTAAGTTCTTACAATTCTTTTGAAATTCAATGCTTCGGGTGAATTGGAAGTAAATAATTCATATAATTCATTAGGTACACTATGTATATGCAATTTAACTTTGCCATCTAAACAACAAAATCCCTTAAAAGTTGACTGCACAAGAACGTGGGATTTAGTCGAAATATTTTGCAAATTAAATTTTGTAGTATGCTCATTATTTTGTACAACTTCATCAATTCTAAGTCGATCATGTTCATAGTCATACAGACCATCGACTTCTTGTTCCGTTGTACTAAATTCATGTCTCGAAGATATACCATAACTACAATCGACTACTACAATAAAATGAGCCGTTATTAATATTAAGAAATACAAATAACATTTTAGAAATGAGGAGTAAAGACAGCTAATGCAATGAATTCAAGTTAATAAATATAGACAATCAAATGGCTAAAATCTACAGACTTACCTCTTTCAGGTTCAAAACCATCTCGATTTGTTAACATTATTTGTGGAACGTATACGTTCAGGGCCAACTAATTGCTTTCCACCATGCTCTTGAGCTGAACATAGCCAAAAAGACAAAGTCAAATCTTTTGGTAATATATAAAAAACAAGAATTATGCATCTAATAGAACATCTCACCTATTAACATTGCAACACGTCTAGCTTTCCTTGCTCGCATTTCATAACTTGGCTGTATTCCATGTTGCACGGCAAATAATTCTATACACATTTTTCTTCGTGAATTTCCTTTCTATGGAGCAAATGTACCACTAAAACCTTCGCTATGCAGTTGTTGCGTCACCTCCACGTCAACGACCCCACGTCTAACGCCCTGAGCAAAGTTGCAATCTTTAACATCTACATTTTCTTGTTCACCATCTGTTCCAATTGAAACAAACAAAATCATTCTTCGCAGATCTATGTTTTTTGCATTAGCAATTTCTATTGATGTATTAACTGTTAAGATTTGTGGTCCATCTTAATAAGATCAACCTTATTAAATGGAGAAGTCCAATCCTTTATAAATTGGTATTTATTTTCATCATCATTCGATGTGGGATATAATACCTTAACAGCCCCCCTCAAGATGGTGGCTCACTTGATCACACCAATCTTGAAATTCATGGGTTGGCTCTGATACCATTTTAAAGTTTGGGGTCCATCTCAATAAGGTCAACCTTATTAAGTGGAGTGTCCCAATCCTTTATATATTGGTCATTATTTTGGTATTTTACCGATGTGGGATTATATTCCCTTAACATGCCCCCACAAGATGGTGGCTCATTTGAGCAGAACAATCTTGAAATTCGTGTGCTCATTTTCAGACACTTAATCGGATCGAATCGCTCGTTGGAGCTTAATGGACTCTGATACCATGTTAAGATTTGTGGTCCATCTTAATAAGATCAACCTTATTAAATGGAGAAGTCCAATCCTTTATAAATTGGTATTTATTTCCATCATCATTCGATGTGGGATATAATACCTTAACATTAACAGTGAAAAGTGCATAGTCCAAAGTTCACTACTTTATCTCTCACACAATTACAGACTGATTCATTAATTTTATTCACATTTATCATCTTTTTTCCTTTATCTCTTACCTATTCAGCTTCATTCTCTATAGAGTCCTACTCTCTACTCTCTGCCTTCTACTCTTTTGCTTGTTAAGATTCATATCTAGAACCCACCAAAAAATTTGGCTATAGAACATGCTATGGAACCTGGATTCCTTAGCTATTTATCAACATTTCCGGATGTAGTTAACATTCCTAGAAAAAGGTATTATACCCAAACAAATATAGATATCCTATGTTTTTTGCTTACGAAAATATGTCTAAGATTTGTCATATATTAGACAACAAAAGTTTGGGATTGTAAAATCTTGAACGCAAAATAAAAAATTGCTCATGTAATTCAAAATCAGGAACTTTTGTCCATGCTTTAGTCTTAGTAAATAAAATTATATCGGCTTACATAAAATGATATACCTTAACTAAAGGCTAAAATATTAAACAAAATCATCAACAATGTTCTCATCAATTTGTCTATAACTATTCATTTGACAGAATTCTATAGAAGCTCAGTAGAAAACACACACTTTAACTAAAATTTTGATGTTAACTCAAAATTAAATAAACCAATATTTAGTTAATCGGAAAAATGCAAGACAACAAAAGGAAAGTATCAAAACCATATTTTGATGTGTTTAGCAATCTAAGAAGCTATATTTATAGTTTTGACATCCATGTATAAATAGCAAATTTATTATTTATCTTTACAGAACACACATGCATACATTTATTAAAAAAAAAAATCAAAGAAAAACATTTTAAAAAAATCGTGACCAAAAAATTGTAAAACAATAGTTACATCTCTTTGGTTGTCCAATAAATTCCAATTTCATGTTTAAAACAAACAAGAAAAAATTTATTTAAAAAATTCAACTAAAAGCAGAAAACACGCACACACACACACACACACACACACACACACATATATATATATGCAAGACAACAAAAGGAAAGTATCAAAACCATATTTTGATGTGTTTAGCAATCTAAGAAGCTATATTTATAGTTTTGACATCCATGTATAAATAGCAAATTTATTATTTATCTTGACAGAACACACATGCATACATTTATTAAAAAAAAAAATCAAAGAAAAACATTTTAAAAAAATCGTGACCAAAAAATTGTAAAACAATAGTTACATCTCTTTGGTTGTCCAATAAATTCCAATTTCATGTTTAAAACAAACAAGAAAAAATTTATTTAAAAAATTCAACTAAAAGCAGAAAACACACACACACACACATATATATATATGTGTGTGTGTGTGTGTGTGTGTGTGTTTATAAACAGCCTAGGGGAAAGGAAATCAGAAAATAGTTGAAATAAAATCAAAATTAAGAATAGAAATATTTGAAAAGAGAAATTTTATTGATAATTGAACGATTACAGAATTGAAAACTACAAATTAAATTTGTAGAGAACAAAAGAAAATAAACTTCTATTGCCAAATTTTCTCTGTCTTGAAATGAACTCTTGAAGTCTTCTTATACTTGAAATTCGGACTTGAAAATTCTTTCATTTGTCAGAAAGAATCTTGAATAGTTGAGTGGGAGACAACATAATGAAGAATCTTGAAATATGATACCAACTTTTTGAATAATTGAGCCATCTTTTGACTAACTTTAAAAAAGAAAGATTAATTCTTTAATAAAGTTATCTTTTTCTTGGAATGGACGACAATCTCTTGAGAAAAAGCTGACTAGTTGGCATGCACAATTTGAAAAGAATCTCTCTTGATTTATTGATCCGGTAATTTCTCAATTATTCGAGAAAGTTGGGTTCTTTAGTCATTTGATCCTCTTTTCTTGAGCAAGAAAGTCATCATAACCTAAATCAATTAGGTCATCACCATTATCTGTCTCTTGAGATTCTTGATCAGATTCTTGAGTACTTGATTTTTTAAATCAATTTTTAGAAATTTGTTCATAAATTTCTAATAATCCTTTTGGATCTTTATATTTTGATAATATTGAAATAATCCTTTGTTTTTCAGTCAGAAAATTTGCCTGATCATCTCGTTCTTTCTTTGAGAATTTTGAAACATGAGGATGACAATTTTGATTAAAAAGAATGAACCATGTAACAGGTCTAAAGAAAAAGACTCTGTACCAGACATTGATATAATCAAAATAATTGAAATATTTAGAAGTTGTAAAAAATGTTTTTGAGAGGTTAAGCCTCTTTTCTTCCCATGAATTTTGTCTGCAGTCTTCGTAAGACAATACCCTAAGAATACTGATTTTTGAAAACATTGTTTTTTTTTTATTTGGAGGATCTGGAGTATGAGAAATTATGGCTGATCCTGTTTTCAAAAGGACAGTCTCGTAATAATCTCGGGATTTTTTGACATTTGATGGCATGAACCAAAAATTGGATGGAAAAATGTTTGGAAGACATTCATCCAGATTTCTGTATCTATGAAGCCAAGATGTTTCCATGTCAAGGCAATTTTCAAAGATACTTTTGGTAAAATATTGAAAATTTTGAGGAGGGTTAATTTGAGGAAGTTTTCCAAAACTTTGAACAACTTTTTTTGTAGTTTGAAGGGATAGCTTTATTTTGATTGGATTTTTTGATAAGAGTTGAAATAGTATTTGAAGAGGAAGAAGCTTCTTGAGTTTCTTTTTCAGAATGATCTTTTGAGAGATCATTAATTGAGAAAAATGGAGTAGAATTTTTCTTTCTACTTTGTTTCTTTTGAAATGGATTTTGATCTTCTTCTTCAACTTACTTTGCCCAACTCATTTTCACTATTTTTATGAATGAACTCTCTTGTGAGGAAATCTACCAAAAAGTTTGATTTCCCTTGTATATATAGAATTTCGAAATCAAAACAGGACAAAATAGTCTGCCATCTTGCAAATATTTGTTTGGAAACAAGATTTTTCACATCTTTTTGTAAAACATCTTTTGAGGCTTTGCAATCTATTTTCAAAATAAATTTCTTGTTGATAAGATCGTCTTGAAATTTTAAAATGCATAGTACTATTAAAAGAATTTCTTTTTTGATAGTGGAATAATTCTTTTGAGAGCCAGTCCACACACGACTATGGTACCTAACTAACTGTTCTTGAGATGACTCTAGTGAAATTTGCTTTAACACACCGCCATACCCAATATCTGATGCATCTGTCTCAATAATAATTGATGCTGTGGGGTCAAGTATTGAAAGACATGGAATATTTTTGATTGCTTTTTTGACTCTTTGAACTGCAACTGTGTGCTCGTGACTCCATGGGTCAAGATTATTTTGTAGTCTTTTGAATAATGGGGCGCATATTTGATGTATACTTTTGACAAAATCGGTAACATAATTGACACAACCTAAAAAGCGTTGCAAACTTGTTTTATCAATAATTTCATCAGAAAATTTATCAATGAAATCAAGACTTCTTTGAATAGGAGTTAAAGTGCCATTATGAATATAATGACCAAGAAAACGAATTTTTGTTTGAAATAAAACAATTTTCTTAGCAGAAACTGCTAAACCATTTTTCTTAGTAACATGGATGAATGTATGAATATACTTGAAATGTTGTTCTATATTTTCAGAAAACATAAGAACATCATCAATGTACACAATAATGAAATTTGAAAAAGGATTGAAAATATCGTTCATAATTTTTTGAAATTTAGAGGAAGCATTTTTGAGACCGAATGGAATAACATTCCATTCGTATTGTCCAAAAGGAACATTGAAGGCAATCTTGTATCTGACTTCTTCTTTAATTTGAATTTGTCGAAAACCTGACTTCATATCAAATTTTGAAAAGATGACAACTTTGCAAAGACAATTCAAAAGATCTTTCTTTTGAGAAAAAAGATATATAATCCATTGAAGAGCAGTATTGAGAGGTTTATAATTGATAACCAAACGAGGAACTCCTAGCTCAATTTCAGCAAAGTTATTGACATAGAAAACTGAATAGCTCCAAGGAGACTTACTTAATCGGATTAAACATTTCTCAACTAAATCATTGGTTTCTTTGATACAAAACTCAAGTAACTCTTTATTCATTTGAATTGGATGAGATTTTGTAGGAATGTTTTATTCATGAAAATCAGAATTGTAAGGAAGAAAAACAACATGTTTCTTTCTATCCCAGAAGGCATTTGGAATAGTTGAACAATTTTTTTTTTTCAATTCTATTTTTTAATTCTAAAATTTTCTCTTGAAGAATAGATTCTTGCAATCTTTTCTCGATTTTTTGAAATTGAATTTCTTCTTTAAGAAATTGAATATGATTTCTTTTTCAAATCAATATTGTTGATAATTTTTGAAATAGCCGCTTCTTTTAAAGAATTAATATCTTTATAAGAAGGAAGATTTGTAAATTCAAAAAATATCTTTTGACCAAAAATTTTTGTACTTAATCCTTTATAATCAGCTTTAAAATGATAAATTTGAACAATAAAAAGTGTATCAAGAATAACTTCTTGATCCAAATCTTTTACAAGATAAAAAATATTTTTGAAACAAATATTTGAATTACAAACATGAGCTTTTGAGATTTTGTAATTAATATTAAGCTTTTTTCCACTAACTCCATAAAGCCGCTCAGTGGTTTTCTCAAAGTATTTTGTAGGAATCAAGCCTTCTTTGATATAATTTTGATCTGCTCCTGAATCAATAAGGACACGAGTTGTGAATTTAAATTCTTTATTCACAACAATAATCATATTGCAGTACCATTTTTGAAGTTGAATTCGGTTAATAACATTAACATTTTCTTCTTCAGATTTAAAAATTTTAAAATCAGAATCTAATGAACAATCAGACGAGGATTTAGAATGTTTTGAAGATCGTTTAGAAGAATGCTTCGAAGAAACTTTTCCTTTGAATTTTGAATAAAATTCATCATTTAAGTCTTTTGCTTTCATACAAACGACTTCCATGTGAATTTCTTTAACTTGATTTTCAAGGTCTGAGATTTGAGTTTTTATACACTTAATCTCTTGTTGAAGATCAGGAATTGAAGGTTTAGAACCTTTAGAAAATTCTTTTTTAGCTCGTTTGAAAATCTGATTGATATTGATATCATCGGAATCTTGTTTTGAAGTAGAAGGTAAAAGGGAGGAGAATTTTTTTCTTGAAATTAGGATCATCAATCCTATCAATGATATCTTGAATAATTTCTTCTTCTCTAAATAAAACATTTATAGTTTTACAACACAAATTTCTTTATCTGAGTTTGAAGAAATTTGAGAGGAATTACGAGAATGGGGAGAAGATTCATAATCAGAATCTTCTTAATTATGAAAGACTTGTTCTAATTCTGAGTTAGACTCATTATCAGAACTTGATTCAATAAAATTGAGAAGTTGAGTTTTAGTATCTTCATCAATTTGAAGATTACCAATTTTGGTTTTGAGTGGGCATTTATTGAAATAATGACCAGTCTTATTACACTTCCAGCAAGTAACACTTGAAGGATTTTTTGAAAAAGATTTTCTTTTTGAAAACTTTCTTTTATTTGAAAATTCTTCTAGATATTTTTTGAAATATTTTCTTTTAGAAAATTTCTTATTTTTAGAAAAAAAAATTTGATTTTGAAGATGGATGAATGATTTTTTCAAAACCATATTGTTCACAAAAAGATTCAAGTTCTTTTCGACTCTCAGACTTTTCTGCTTTCAATTTAGCTTTGAGTTTTAAATCATTACACAAATTTAAAGCTTCACTGTTAATGAAATTAATAATTTCATCATAAGTGAGTGTTTGAAGGTCATCAAATTCTTTAAAAATAGAATTTTTGACTCTTTCTACAAAGAGTTTTGGAAAACCTGAAATAAATTTTTCTTTCCAAAAAGATTGTTGACAATTTTCTCTGATCATGATACGAGATAAAAATATATCTTTGTACCATCGAAAATCTTGTAATTTTGGACATCTTAAATTCATCAAAATGTCATTTTGTATTTGAACAATATTTTCTAGAGTACCAATAAAATGTTTGACAATAGTTAAACCAAGAACGGTAAAACTATCATTAATTTCATTTCCATTTGAATCATGAATAATATTATTATTTCCATTACGTTTAACAGCTGAAAAGATAATATCTTTCTCAGTTTGAGATAGATAATTATCCCACCACTGACCAAGCTATCCAGTGAATCCAAGAACAATATTATTTGTAGCATCTCTTCTTGAGGTGCCTTTTGCAAGATAAGTTTTATAACACACAGTCATTTGTCCCATAAAATTAATGATTTGATATTCAGTAAGTCTATCGAGATTCCACTCAACACCGGAATTACCGTCATAAGTTCTTTGAGGATTAGCTTTTTCTTCAAAAAGCTGATTTGGGAATGAAGGACGAGGATAATATTTTGGAAGATTTTGATAATAAGATTTTCTCAATTTATTAATTGAATCATATTTTTCATCAATAAATTGAGTTTCAATTTCATTAATGGTATTGATATTTTTTGAAACGTGAAAATTTTTTAATTGAGTAGCAAGTTCAGAAAGAATTTCACTTTCAGTTTGAAGAATGGAAGATTTTCCAAATTGAGGAATAATATCATTACTTTTGAAAATCGAAGAGGAAGAAGATGATGGTTTTGATAAATTCTTATCTTTAATACTACTTTCTCTAGATTCTTTAGAAGAATCCTTTTGAGAAGTAATATTCTCAGATTTAGAATTTGATTCGATACGATTGAGCTGAGAACACATAGATTTAAGAACAACATTAGTATAATTGTTCTGAGATTGAATATTTTTGATATCCTTAGCAACAACCTGAGATTCATCAGATCGTTCTTTAGGAATCCTTTTGAGCAGAGATGTAAGGATTTCAGTTTTTCCATGAGGAATAACAATTTCTTGCATAGGAGGATGAGTTGATTGGAAAGTATTTCCATCTGAAGTTTTCCAAGTATTGTTATGAGTTTTTGAAGTAAAATTTTTTGTTTTTTTTGATCTTTTACCAAAAACTTTGAATTGAATCCAATCATAGAAACTTAAATCAGTAGAAAATTTAAAATAATCTTTCCAATAAGATTCTTTTTGTTTTGAAGAAAAACTTTCTCGAAAAAGTTTTTCAAAATTTTTGACACAAATGTCTTGATCATATTTGAATTCTTTTCTTCTATCAATTTCAAAAGAAATAACATTACATTGATGATCAAGATTGGAGGGAGGAACCATGTCTGAAAAAGTTGGTGATTCTGGTTGATCATCATCTTTTTCATATTTGTTTTGATAATGAAGTTTTGGAATAATAGGTGTAAAATCTGCTCCTTTGTATGAAGATTGAAAGTTGAAAAAGACTTCGTAGAATAAGATCTTTGAATCCTTGAGGATGATCCTTTGAAAAGAATCTTAGCTTTTCGAATTGGAAAAGTAAGAATTTGATTTGGAATTGTTCTAGTTTGAGCAGGAATAGGTGCTTGAACATTATCAAAATTCCATTCGAGTCCACGAGATTGAAGATTCCATGGACTTCTTTTTGGAATTTCAACATTTGAATGAAAAGGATTAACTTCCACTAAAAGACTTTCATCTCTTGGTGAAGAGTGAAGAGCTCCAATATTGAGTTGAGTATTCATAAGCTTATAATATACTCCGTATATTATAGCAAAAGCATTTGAACGACTATCAAATTCAAGATTTTTAGTCTGAATATGAAGATTGAGAGAATTGAGAATTACTCCATCAATAAGTTTGATAGAAAAGTTTGAATAACAGTTTGAAAACACTGGACCACTTTCTAGATTTGATTCTAGAAGTGAAAGTATTGAATTTTCAAAAATGAGATGTCTCTTATCTCTAAGAGTAAGAAGAATTGGAACATCAAGACCAAATCTAAACAATGGCTTGACAGCTATTTGAACTAATCCAACATAAAGATATTTAAATTTCTTCTTGTGAGATTCAATGGCTTCTTTTGTAAGTAAATTAATGAAAGAATTTTGACTATTAATTGAAACAGTTTGTTCAATAGTTTTAATAACATAATTTTGAGAAAAATTAATTTTCCTATTTCATAGATGGTATATTTATCCATCTTTGGAATAGTCCAATTTTTAAGACGATGTTCAATTTGTGTAATTTGAAATTCATGAGAATTGAAATCATTTGATGCAAATGATGCAAATGTATGATCAATTTCTTCTTCTGTTTGAAAAACATTTGTTCTATTCTCATTTGATTGATTTTCTCTTCTATTTCTAGATCTCGATCTCAAATGACACTTAAAAAAAATAATAAGAACCAAAAAAGGTAATAAAACACATTTATCAAACATACCTAAAAACAAAAAAGAAGAACATATCACACAAAAAATAAAAACCCAACAGGAAGAAAAAACGGCAACCAAGATTAAAAACGTTCGAAACTCACCAAAGTTTTGGCGAAGCCTTTCAAACAGGAAAACAACACCAATCTTTGAACAAGAAAAAAAAAGGATGTCCAACAAAAGGAAAATTAGGGGAATTTTGGATGGTAGAACATAGATCTAGGATTTGTGCTCGAGAACAATGACAAGGGAAATGATAAGCACAATAGATTTAGGGTTTATGCACAAGAAGATTGAAAAGAAAAATGCAAAACATTATAGATTTATGGTTTCAACGTAGAAGTAGACGACTAAAAAAAATGCCAAAAGGAAGACAAAACATTTTTATGGATGAGTTTAGAAAACACACATTCACAGGAAAAATGGGTAGAGTAGATGGGTACGCCTTTCAAAATCCATCTTTTCTTTTAGTAGTATAAAAGAATTAATTGGGTTGTCATGTTAGTAGTATGAAAACGCGTATTCACAGGAAAAAAGGGCAGAGTAGATGGACACGTCTTTCAAAATCCATCTTTTCTTTTAGTAGTACGAATAAATTAATTGGATTGTCATTTTAGTAGTATAAATTAATTGGGCTGTCAAACAATGGAATAACCAAAAAAATTATATATGGCACACAACCCAATGAATAGTGCCAAAACTAACCCAATCTTTTATTTTAGTAGTGATATTATTTTACATGTGAACCCTTAATCATTTCTTGATTTTTCACCACATATTCTTTTTAAGAAAAAAAATCATTTTTAACAAAATCTATTTTCAAAATGTCAACGTCAAACAATATAACTAGAATAGTTACATCTAGCAAACATAAATTTTTTAGTTGTCTTGTGAATTTTGACTTACGAATGTGCAGCCACATGATAAGGGAGAAATACATTAGCTGCAAGTAGAATTAGAGAATTTTTCTGAGTGTACAAAAATTGGGCCGGCTTGCAAAACCCGGTTAGTTAACTCACAAAAGAGTGGTCCCCACAAAATAAAAAATGTCAAAAATTAACCCATCCACCCACGTTCATTGTGAGGTGTCGGTAGGATAAATCCCTGTAGACCAAGTGCTTCTCGAATTAGAGCATAGAAAAGCTAGAAATGGGCTTCTCACCATCCTTTTCTTTAAAAAAAAAAATAATGATGATGATTATGATGATGTAGCGAAAATTCCAAGTTTCACCAGTTCGGTCAGTTTATGAAAAATGAGGAATCCGGTATTCTCGATTTCAATACCGTATATGTCGTTTGTCCGGTAAGATGATAGATAACAGCAAGTTACAGTCGTACAACTAATTGGATAATAACAGAATAAACAACAAATCAACTATTGAATTTACTGTAATAAATAACAGAACAAATAATTGAAATTACAGGAAATGAAATTTCAAACCGAGGCCTATGTTACACACAGTTTCCTTAAAACAGATTCGCCCCCTCACCATCCGTGCTTGAGGTTTAAAACGAGCGTCCGTTTCTCAAAATATAACGGTAAAACCAGTAGCTTCCGAGCACCGTAGAAACCACTCCGGTGAACTGAACCAGTGCCTGAACTACACCACCACCAAGACAGAAATGCAGAAAAGATAGAATTCTATGCAAATGAATTTCTTGTATATTCTAAATTTGAAAACTTTTGCTTTGGTGTATTGAAATGAGGAAAATGAGCCACCATTTATAGGCTAGGCTACCATTAATGGCAATGACCTTTGGAGTTTCTCATCTTTTTTTTATGTGGGACAAATTCATTTTTCCCACATAAACTCCCTTTTGAGTGGCACACTTTGAACCTCAATTTCTCATTCACCCGAGCATCATCTTTGGCAAGTAAGTATATGATTTCGATGTACTCATAGAGGAAAACAAAAATCAACTTTCATCTTCCAAATTGAACAACCGGGTCCCACTCAAAATTCGTGCCAAAGTCGGCCCATAACTCAGGCTTTTTTTTTTTTTCCCAACGGATGATAGCTACCATACATTTTATTCTCATTGATAATTACCCTTTTTAGTCAAATCTAAAATTTACGTAATCAAATATACCTCACTTGTAAATTGATTAGCTTTTCCAATATTCCAAATGAACCATTAAAACCTCAAAGATTTAATCATTCGTATATATTACATTTTCTGAATTTTTTAGCAATGATAAAAGTGAACGAGAACGAAGGGACAAGTGGAATAATAATGCTTGATAATGCATTGGTAGCATCGTAAAAAACTTTTCAAAAATTTCTCACATAAAATGTAATTCCCCAGTCATGCTCTTGTAAACTAGATTCTAGGGCATGTGCATGTAAAGTGTTGTACTAAGTAGTAATAAGATGTTCGTAGCCTTCACAAGCAAGTAGCAAAGTGTGAGTTCCATTTAAAACTTATATAAATGACAAATGTTTTAGTGTTGAGTCCATTTTCTTTGCAATATTCATCAAAAGCTTGTTTTCTATTAAGGAATACCAAAATAAAATTAGTGCGCTTTTAATTTTGTGTATCCTACTTTTAATTAATTTTAGCCTATCTTAAACAATTAAATAAAAAATATGACAAATACAACAGATATGAAGTAGAATACCACCAAAATTGGGGCTAAAGTGTCGAGATAGTTTATTAATTATTTCTTTATTGAGCGTTGCATTGTAAATGTAAAACTACAAATTTTATCCGCACAACTAAATTCTTTAATAATATCAATTGAATCATTAAAAATGTTAGAAGCATTATGAAGAAATTCAAATTTTCTTTTTTAGGATTCAACTCAATCCCGAGCTCGTGTATATACTAGCCGAGCCCACATGCTCAAGAACATTTGTTGGTACTTTTCAAACTACTAGTTGAATGTCAATGTGTATTGCAAGTTCTTCTGAGAACTTTTTGAAGTCTCAAAGAAAAAGGTATTTTGAGGTGTTTGATCAATATTGCTTGATAATTATATTATTTATATATACTATTTATGAACAATGAGTCGAGTTTTACATTTTTTTTATTTGTTTTACTTGAGTTTCACGTTTTTTTTTATTTGTTTTACTCATATCTTTTGCCTTTTTTTTTTTTTTTTTAAAAATAGGTTGAATTTTATATTTTTTTTTTTTTTTCTTGGGTTTTATGTTTTTTTTTTTTTGTTTTTCCCTTTTTTTTTTTTTTTCTTGGGTTTTATGTTTTTTTTTTTTTGTTTTTCCCTTTTTTTTTTTTTTTCTTGGGTTTTATGTTTTTTTTTTTTTGTTTTTCCCTTTTTTTTTTTTTTTCTTGGGTTTTATGTTTTTTTTTTTTTGTTTTTCCCTTTTTTTTTTTTTTTCTTGGGTTTTATGTTTTTTTTTTTTTGTTTTTCCCTTTTTTTTTTTTTTTCTTGGGTTTTATGTTTTTTTTTTTTTGTTTTTCCCTTTTTTTTTTTTTTTCTTGGGTTTTATGTTTTTTTTTTTTTGTTTTTCCCTTTTTTTTTTTTTTTCTTGGGTTTTATGTTTTTTTTTTTTTGTTTTTCCCTTTTTTTTTTTTTTTCTTGGGTTTTATGTTTTTTTTTTTTTGTTTTTCCCTTTTTTTTTTTTTTTCTTGGGTTTTATGTTTTTTTTTTTTTGTTTTTCCCTTTTTTTTTTTTTTTCTTGGGTTTTATGTTTTTTTTTTTTTGTTTTTCCCTTTTTTTTTTTTTTTCTTTTTTTTTTCCTTTTTTTTTTTTTTTTTAAATTGTTGATGGCTAAAAATGACGTAGCAAGATTAGATCAACTTAACGAATTTTTTTTTTTATTGAATATTGCTGGATTTAGATCAAAGTTTACAAAGTAATTTGTGTTTGGGAATGTTTGTGTCCAATCCCCTTAGCTCTGCAATAGGAAAGGATCATCGATCCCTATTTATCAGATAAAGTTCAAGCCACTTGCCCACCTAGTGTCTTGTCAACTACAGCATCAATCTAGAGATGTGTGCACTGTCTTGAATTCTAGCCTCTTGATTGGCTAGTGAGGTCAGCCAATCAAGTATTATGATGCCTATGTCCTAGCTATGACATCAAGTAATGATGACCTAAAGTTACGTAATCATCTCTTGTTTGTGATTTATCGAGCATTAGGTGCTGAATTTATGATGGATACATGTCATTCTAAGAGTGGTTGACGGTGAGGTGGAGTAATACAACACAGATCTACAATCATGATGACCCTTCAAATTACGATGACCTTACTCCCAAACTTAGCTTTCTTGTCCGACCTCCTAATGCATATTCCAGTTTTATTATTATTTTTTTTTCATAAAACATTAGGTCGGATCCCAACACAAATCAATCAAATATTATTTGAATTTAAAATGCATATTATACTTTTAGGGCAAGGTTTTGCTTTGGCGTCATATTTTCTATGCATGGATGATTAATTAACTAATCTCGTTTATGGAAAGTTGAGACTACAGTCGTCAACTCATTCTTGCAAAAAATTCAATATACCACAACGATTTTTTCATAAATACGTCTAATTATTTTTGAATTCTTACTCAATTCCAAATTGTGAAGAATAAAAATCAGAACAAGTTACGCATAATATTAGAGATAAAATCTTACGCCCCCATCCTTGTCATATTATCCCGCCCCCAAATAGTAAGTGGGATGGGGAATCCAATCCCTATTCCACCTTCCAAAAATTCCTATTCGGACATGGATGGTAATGTCAAACTTGGTTACGCCCTATCCGTCCCATTGTCATTCCTATACTATACAAATGATCATGAGCCAATAAGATTGTATAAAATGTCAATATAAAACATGATTAAGAAAAAATTAAAGTCAAATGATAAATTGGTATAATATATTGAGAGAGATCTGGGGAGATTAGGTTTCATTATTAATTTTTGCATTTTATTCGTACATTGAATTCAAGTATGTACTGACGTAGGAACTCATGTAATTGTTATCTAAGTTTCTTGAAATTCTAAATTTATTGTAAATGATAAAAATGTCAAAGTACTTTCAAGATACCTTCAATAATCCAAAAAGCTCTAAAATTTATTGGCCATTCACATATTAGCAAAACAATGATGTCACAAACAAAAATAAAAAAATAAATCATAGACATGAACATGATGTAAAAACAAATAGATAATATATTAATTAAGAAGGCTGAATTTTTAACGAGCATGACTATCGGTGCTGCATTTTGGAGTTCTATACATACAAACAAGACCATCATCCAAGTGCTGTTTATTGGATTTAATCATTACAATAAAAAGTTAATTTTCCTTTGAAGATTAAACCAAATGAATAAATGATTTTAGATCACCTTGAGATTATTGAATGTTTTTAAATCCTCACACATTAATGGAAAGATGATAACTTTGAAGGAGCTTTCTTAATGGCATAGCCAAATGCTTTATCCCTTAGATCTTCTCCCTTGTATTCCTTTAGGTGCCTCCCTTCTTTGGGAAATAAAATGTAGCTAACCCTAAAAATCATATGAAA